AAGAAAGAAAGCTTTATGATAGTAATACATTAAATAATTACTAAATTGCTTACTTGTTGGTTTTCTATTAGTTCGTTCCGAAAGTATTTTTGCTATTTTCAGAAGAGCGTAATATGCCGCGCACGCTTAAAGTTATGAACTAAAAGGGATTTTTTCCCGACTCCTCGAATCAGAAATAAAGAAATTCTTTTAGACGGTGGAGAGAAAACTGCTGCATCGAATGGCGTTCCTGTTGCTCGCCGGTTGATCTGTGTGGGGTTTAAGATGACCAAATATGGAATTTGATAACATCAAAAAGAGTAATTTTGAAAATTTTAGAAAGCAAGCTATGGGTAAAGGAAATTGCTATAGGTTAAGGTAACTTTTTCCATGAGTAAAGTTAACCCCTTCAGGTTTAGCGTAATTCATCAGTAACTTGGCTTCGAAAGGATGGTATGAAAATATAGAAAAATGCTGAGCATGATTGTAGCAGAATCTATGGTTCTAATTATTAGGCCTCTTCTAAGAATTCATGTAAGGCTCTTTTGAAAGAACATGAGAAATGGCATTGGAAGCACCAACCTTCCAAAGGGTGCTTGTTTTAATGAGATTACGCTCGTTTGCCAAAAAAGCAAAATCACTTTTGGAACGACCCAATATATACCGAGAGTATGGAACTCGGTCGAATTGAGAATAATCTTTAGCACTTTTAGAAAGCCACTTTAAAAAACCTGATTGAAGTATTGCAAATATGTTTGATCTACCTGGCTGCTATCAGCTTTTTTTGTCCAATCTATCAGCCTATAATTGACTTTTTTGACAAAAAAAATGAAAATTTTGAGAGTCATTTGGAGTGGAGATAGTAAAATTGTGGTGATGGCGGCGGTGATGGAGATGTGTACTAACCATAATGTCTACGTTGAAATAGTGAGAGGATGGCCGATGCGGGTATAAAATTTCCTTGCAATCAAATTTGCGACATTGACAAACTAATTTTAGTGAAGCACGCTTGCTGCGAGCGCTCAGCCTATCTGGAACGAACGCCATTGCCTGGCAATTTTATTACTACGACAATGTCTCATGTTGATAAGTGGCAGCAATCCATCAATACAGTTCCGCTGTAGCTTTTTTTAGCATAATAATCTGCGCCATCTGCTCACACAGTGATAAGCGGTAAGCTTCAACTGGCTTGGCGGCTAGGAGGCGCGGCTTTGTGACTCAATTAAGGCCGCTCGCGCCCACGACGTGGTCTGCATCTCTCCGCGCGCGTGTTCCCTGATCATTAGCTAGTCTTAATTAGGTCACGAAGTCCCGCCTTCTAACCGCCAAGCCAGTTGAATCAAAGGGAACAATGTTTTCTATTAGGCAACACGGTAGTGCCGCAATTCAGATGTGATTGAAAATTACGGAGTTGTGCCGCGTTTTCAAGAACGTACGTGAGACTAATTTGTTGTGAATGTTGATAAATAAAGCACAGTCTCTGAGACCGCGCAAAGACAGATTCCCTAAATCGAAAAATTACAACATCTTAAAGGCACCGTCTACCCTAAGTTGAGGGTATTGAGCTTTTGGCAGCATTTAATGTTAGGGCCCCATAGTAATCCAATGCCCAAGTCACGGCGCAAAATACCGCTTCGGAAGCGAGAAATCGCTTTCGAAGCGGCATTTCGGAATAGCGAAGATGCATGAGGACCCCCGTCCATGCCCGCCCATTTGTGCGCGTCCATCCAATCACCGTTCCGGATAGCCGGCCTGTGGGTTCTCCAGAATGGGGATTTTCGGGGTTTTCGAGTAATCTCTACTTCATATTTGGAATCAGGGGCATGAGAAGGCCCTGGAACGACAAAGACGTGGAAGTCGAAAGTCTGGGTGGACGGTGCCTTTAAATCATAAATAAATCATTTCACTCCTTCGCAGCGTTGATTTGAACATCAAATGAAGTAACATCTGATGGTGTCAAGCAAGTACAAAATGGCGACCAAACATTCGTGTTTGATCTGCCTAAGGTTCGAAGCCGAAATGTGAAAACATATGATTGCCCAGAAAATAAAATTTTTCAAAGGAGAATTCTGCAGATTTCAACTTCTGCGCGCATATAGACTACAGACACTTACGCATTAAACATACGCATGCAGAGTCGTTGTAATTATTCATAGCTAATAAGAATGCTGCCTTGAGTTTTCATTGTGCTAGAGCTTATATTCTCGAGATACAGCGCTAGTAGAATTCCAATTAATGTTATAGTTCTAGAAATTACATTCTGTTTGGCTTTCGTTTTCTTGACTATAAGCCGTGAAAAAAGAAGGGTACATATGAATGTTTGATGTTGAGAAAATGTACATATGCAAGTTCTTTTTAGGTGCTCAATAGTCTTTGTTTGCTCAAACTTCACGTAGATCAGACTTTCTGCATATGTTTGGAGGCCTCTTGTAGAGCTTGCTTTTTTCATGAAGTAGCTCACACAATTTTTGGGTCCGCTCTCCCGCAGTCGCGTGTGGTGCGAATAGAGCTTTCGTACCCAATAACAAAATTACAATGTCCCGGAACGATTTCGCAGTTTATGCAAACATATGGAAACATTTAAGCTGCCCGATTCATTTACAGTTGTCAATGGCAATGACTGGGACTTTAAGAAAGAATGGATTTCTAGCAACGCTGGCTCCTTCAATGTCTGATGGAGGGCTGCAGTAACGGTGCGCGTAAAGTTTCTTAGGAACGTAAGCGGGTTCATTCTTTACGAATCCTTTCATACACTCCGGCACAAGGAACTTATCCGCCATTTCCAAAAGGTTGATATAAATAACGAAACTGCGTTCAAATAGGTTTCAGACTGAGGCAATGCCACGAATTGATACGAAGAAAGAGCTTTTTGTTTAAAAATGCTAAGTATCAACTGTTGATAAGGGCTAGCACGTAGCCTTGACATGAAGACATATAGCACTGATTGGTGAGAACACGATCACAATAACAAGATTCTCCGTTAGAATAGCAGTGCTTTTGCAGTTTACAAACTTACTGCTCTGCTCATTTAATTGAGTACTAGTATTTAGCTTGTATAAACTCTTGAACGGCTTGACATTCGCAAGCCAGCCCCCATAGTGCCATTCATCCTCACACAGTGTTGAGGTTATTCATACAGAGCACTTGGCCCCTAACACATGTAATGTAAAATATTGATAACAGCCATCGATTACGAATGCGATGTGCACATGCCTGCTTTATGAGAAAGGAAATTAAGGACAATTACGGCCGAAGATTTTGTCCGGCTGGTAGCTGGTTGGTTTACGTACGTACCATGTGTGCATGAAGAAGTAAAATTTTATTCTACTTTTTAAAGAAAAAACAATGAAAGCGTTCGACTCAAAAAAAGGGAAAGTATGAAAACAACAAATATTATTAGGTCGGTCCGAAAGTTCGCACTGTTTTTCAGATCCATGCTTAAACCACTTAGAATAAAGATAGACAAAAGCTCTAAACGGCGTTCGATGCAAATTTCATTCCTCTTCCCAACAATTACGTTTTTGTTCGGATTCCCTTGATGTCTGCTCAATGATCGGCAGGGATCTCCTACCCATGATTTTCACCCATCTTGATTTGACTATTCTTTGAAACTTGTATTTTCAACTTTTGGACTGGCTTTGGTAACAGTTGGATTCAAGAAACAAAATGCAATTCATTTTTTGGCATATCTAGCTGACTCCCCAAATTTTTGGAAATATTCTTTTGATGCTATCAAATTCCATATTTGAAATTATGGAATATGAAATATCAAATATGGAATTGGATAGCATCAGAAGAATATTTCCAAAAATTTTGAGAAGCCAGTCAGACATGCCAAAAGTGTATTGCATTGCATTTTCATTACTATCCAACTTATCAAAGCTAGTCCCACAGTTGAAAGCGGAACTGGTGAACATCATGGGTTGGAAATCCCTGCCGATTATTAAGCGGGCACTGAGGAAATCTGAATAAAAACGTAACCTTCAGAAAGAGGAGGAAATTCTGCATTGAACACCGTTAAGAGCTTTTGTCTATCTTTATTCTAAGTGGTTTGCGCATGGGTCTGAAAAACAGCGCGAAATTTTGGACCGACCTGATATTTGAGATTTCGGCTCCAAAAAAAAGAAAGAAACAAACAATAACAAACATCACTTTCGAGAGTTCGGCTAAGGCTTCTAAGTGAACATGCAGTATAAGTAATCTCCATAGTAATACCATCCTCTCTGATGGTAACTTCGGCAAACCATGTTCAAATGATTGATGAACTTCTGCAACATCTCCGTAAGTTGGATCAGAATAAGCATTTACACCAATGATAGTTTGTTCGTGGTGTGGGTTGTTTTTCTTATCTTCAACGAAATTGACAAACTCTATAGAACACTGTTGTTCTCACAATAGCAACATTGCAGCTTCGAAAAATAACTTTCACCCGACTCCATCAACTGTAATGATGGTCAAAGTTTTTAGTTTGATTCTCCTCAGCTACAGAAGGGTAGCACTGCAGACATCTTGCAATAATATGAAACTTATTTTGGTATTCTGAATCGTTGCTTCTAAGTTTTTTCGCTAAAGTTACTACAGAAATTTTGCTTTTTAAGCTTCTATCTTGCTTCGTTGTGATAATTTTTTCAAGTTCTACAACAAGGTGTAAAAAGGGTAAAGGATAAAGGGTTCGGAGTCTTCACTGATGCAAAAAAAAATTATCGGGTTCCTGCAAAAAGCAATCGGGCTTTCTCTCATGAGTAATTCTGCACTTCACAGCGTCAAAGCACAACTATAAATATTCAGATTTTCAAAGTTCTATTACCAAGAACTTCAAGTTTGATCAAAGTAAAAAAAGGAGTTCTTGCAATTTCTGCTTATTTTTGTTCCATAGTTTACAAAAAGCAACCCGGTGACAGTAACATTAAACGTTCGAAGTGAAGGAAAGCATGTAGCTCTTGTTTGAGAGTTTGTTTTGCTCGAGTGGATAGTCAAGTTCTGAGACAAAGGTAGATTATGAGCTCTTGCACGGACAAAATTTATGGGGTAATCAACGAAATTGCGCATATGCGCAGACGTTTGCGCATGTTTTCCAGCTGGAAGAAAACGATGTTATGCTACTATGTTATTTGTAACTTCACTTACACACATATCTACTTCTCGATACTCGAATAATCTGACAAGAACAGAAGCGGGCAAATGTTTGTGGTCGTGGCTAAAATTTGATTATGCATATTGAGGAGAGTGGACGCTAATGGTGTTCAACTCACTATGTTATCCAAGTCATGTAACAATTTTCGTGATAGCTACTCCACCAGCCACCCATCACATTCTTATGAAGCTGACAATGCAAGCTTTTATTATATTTCTGAATAAAAAGTTTCATGTAGTGCAGAAGTTGTTCAAAAATTGTCTACCCTAATTTCATGCGTACAAGGCGCATCTTTTTCAATTTTTCAAGCGAGCGGCTCAGCCGCTTCACTGTATTTCGAAAAGCGACTTTTATACCGCAGGATTCTCTTGAGTAATATGCAGCACGGTATAGGGCCTTTGCTCGCGAAGTTTTTGGCGTTTTGGGCAGATCGATTTTTGAAAAAAATGCCTTTGTACGCGTGAATTTAGGGTATTCAGCGTTGCAAACAAAGCAGTTTTCTTTCGTTCATACCACCCTGGAAGCAGATCTCGGCAAGGCGACTTACGGGACAAGATTGATACCTTTAAGGGTAAAAAGCGAGGGGCAAGGATATCGTTAAAAGCGGACCTTCCCCCCCCCCTCACAATCATTCTCTTCCTTTATGTCATCTTTCATCTTCTATAAAGGGCGCAGATTGTCATTCCTGCACTATCGATCCCGCTCCTGCAACAGCTAAAACTCTCGTATGCGTGCGCATTTGAAAATCTGCCCCGAAATAAACTGAAAATGAAATGATATGATAAATAATAATGAAATATAAAATTGGTGTATATACGGACAATAGGGAGTCAGGACTATGAAAAAATTATGAAAGTATTATGTGACGCGTAGCATACTTTTTCGGAGTTAGGTGGCTTTCCAGCCACCTTGACAGCCACCTGAGGTGGCGTAATAAGAAATAATGATTTTTTTCCAAATTTTTATCACATTTTCAACATAACCCTGTTCTACGTCAAAAACCCTATAACTGAGTTTTTGAATCTCGCCAAATCCCCTCCTTCTCGTCTAGTTACAGCCCTTCAACTATTTTGTATGCCAGCGGCAAGCCTGCTCCAAGCGCGCAAGGGTGCGTACCGGAACAGCATGCCGCCTCAAAGAGTACGAACATCCTTAGTCCTTTGGCATTTGTTCAATGTTGTTTCTATGTTTTGTTCTATCGTTTTTCGTTATTCGTGGATACATTCATGATCGCGTCACAGGTGAAGTCGGTTTTTGTGGCGAAGTCCACGGGGACTTCGTTATTGAAAAAATGAAAACGCCACGTCATGCCGAGCCCTGCCTGGAGGTCATTCTAATTAGGGCAACTACTTTACTTCTTCTAAAATTTGTAATCATTATCAAGTTTTCACCAGTTTCCAGCCAGGGCAAAGGAGTCGAAACTGCTTTGCTATTCCATTGCGATAGAGGTCCTTGTCGCAAATGCACACCACTTTTCCGTTGTACAAACGACAAGATTTCCCATCGCTTTTGCCACTACATGTACATGTTTGCTGTGAAGCAGAAGTCTGGGTTACCAAAATCTAAATGCAACGTTTACCTACTATTATATTTCAGAAACGTAACTTACAACGATTAAAATGAAAAACAACATCTTGAATGTTGTTCTCATCATCTCAGACTTTTTATACTGAAAGACTTCTGCAAGCAAGCAATTGTCAGATATAACAAAAAAATGCTAGTACTCTTCTATGTTATTCAAAGGGTTCCTGACGGATGAAGTGCGTCATCCGCAAACGCGAGAATGACAGGCCGAGCCCTATATCATTTTCTTCAATCATGGTTACGGATAATTTTGATCGTCTCCGAATTTACACAGTGATTTTTTTTACAATATCAGACATTGTTATCCTTGCTACAGGGTGAGCTCAAAGTAGACTCAGTACCACGTGCCTCTTGAATGTTATATTAGATTTTCCATAATTAATGCAATTTTTTCTGTTTTTGAAAAATCTGATTTCCAGAGAAAAAGCGCTTTTCTCTGAAACTTAATATGAATTGAAAGCCGAATTCTTCTACTTTCTGATATATGCTTTGGTTTTCGCAAACCCTCGTTCAAATCGGAGTTCCATGCCTTCAAGTCAAGTGACCAAAACTTCAAATTCTTTCCTTTCATTCTCCTTGTCCTAAATCCATGACTTATGGTAAGATTTGTTTCAAAATGCATAATGATTGCGAAGTTTTGCTACAAAGTGCTTAGCAACATAAGATTTGAAAAATTCTGAGCGAGAAATTTTGACTCATTGGCTGATCGCTGAGGCACATCTATACTGCATAAAAATTTCAAACGAAAAGGGATTGCACAGCTTTTGCGCTATGCAGCAGAGTAGAGTAGTACAGTTGATGACAGAAAAAGGATTCGCTCGTTTTCCAGCGGAGAAAGATATGGAAAATTTTAAAAAACAATTTTCTGGATTTTCCAAAATGCTGAAAAAATGCATACTTTCCAACCTTCCTCAAAATCTCGCTGAAAATTTTCGTTAAGTTCAAACTTCATCACATTGCTCAACCGACCATCGGCTATATAATGAGCAAATTTCGCGAGATTCTAGTAAGTTGAGAGCAGGTGCTTCATCAAACTATAGGTTTGTGGAAAATGTTTTGGAAATATTCGGGCTAGAAAGTCTTCATCGGACTGCCTGCGATCCAGCAAAAAAGTGCTTGTTTACCGAAAGGTTTGCTGCTTACAATGGTTTTTATTGCGAGAAAGACTGTTTTGGAAATGGTTACTCTGATCTAAAGTTAAAATTCAGAAAACTTACAGTAATTATGAGACAGCCTAGTATATATAATGTAACAACTAAAAACTTTTCGGACATAAGTTCACATGTCTCAGTATCGACTATATATATCGACTAATTTACTCTTAACAAAACAATAGCAGTTATTCAAAGTACCACAAAAGTGTCACATGTATAAAAACACAAAGATTCTTTTTTCAAATTTAAAAAAATAAGTGTAATTCAAATGTATTTTGTTCTGATTTATTTCAAAGCTTGAAACGCTACATAGCAAAGACCCTGAGGTTAAAGGCAGTGTCTCACCAAAATTTAGTTGCCGAGATTTTTGCATTTTGCAAGCCTGTCGGACCCTGTCTAGCACTGTATGGGCTAAAAATCGCACGAAGTTCCCAAAAAACCCGTTTTCTGGAGGCCCAGTGGAAGCAACGTGGACGAGTCGTACCTTACAACTTCAGCCCCAGCCACAGTGGCAGCAACAGAGGGGAGGTGGATGCCAAGTGAGGGACATGTTCAAACGCGTAAGGGGAAATAATATTTGCTCCAAGACGAAGGCGGTCGCCCAAATAGGTTGAAAACATGCAAAGCTGCGGCGCGCGCGCAATGTTAACCACAGGGCGCGCGCACGCTCGGTCAGCGGTCATTCACGCGAGCGTGCGCGCGACTCGTGGTTGACAATTGCGCTGCGTGCGGCTGTCGTAAGGCTGTCGCGCTGCGTGCGCGTCAGCCTTGCATGCTGTCAACTTATTTGGGCGACCGCCTTCGTCATGGAGGAGATATTACCGAAGGAGTCGTCCGCGCGTACCAACTCGCTCTCCGCGTACCACTTTGAGCGATCTCAGCGTGGAAGGGGTCAAATTGAGTGGGACCTGTTGCAGTGGCCTAGCTAGAGCTCCCTATTATAGAATATGTGAAGATCCGCGCGACCTCAATTTTGGTGAGACACTGCCTTTAATGGTATTCAATAATTCACTTGATTCTGCGAAGCTTGTGATGATAGAAATCTATGAAGAAGCCTACCCCTTTTCAGGTGTATAAGCCGACCTTTTATGCTCTAAACGGGAGCAGACCCATGCGTGCCGCCACGCATATGTCTCGCGAAGCTGTCGCCTTATCGCATACTGCTCTCATTTAACGCGCTCCATGATGACAGTCAGTCTTTTGGCGTGTTCGCACTTAGAGCGAAAAGGGTGCGGCTTATACACCTGAAAATAGGGTAATATCAGCCATCATATCAATCTATTAGGTTGGTCCAAGTTCTGTTGCATCATTTTTATAGGCTCCTGCAAGACGAAGGCGGTTGGTTCGAGGCGCGACGTGGCTGTGACGCGGCTGTGACGCTGCTGTGACGCAGCCATGTCGCAACCGCGTTGCACATCGAACCGACCGCCTTCGTCTTGCAGGAGCTTATATATCTTTTTCCTGTCTTTACATTTCTGTTTGCAAAAAGCTTTGTTAAAAAGGGTGAATCATGCACTTTTTAATAGCACTCGGTCGTCCTCTAATGAACTCTGATTGCAGAGAGAAAATTGAAAAGGAATTCACTTCACGTTTGAAATTTCGAGGAAAGCCTGTTAAAAAATTCCAAATCTGTTCCATAAAATTCAAAAAGCCAGTAATTTAGGTTTGGTCTATCTCTGCACTCAGAGCTTACTGAAGAGTATACAAGATGCCTTGGAAAGCGCAAGGTTTATACTTCTAAAGAAGTTAAAGTCATGCAAAAACTTTGCGATAGGAAGAAGTTACGATTTTCTGAAGATAGTGCGAAAGAACGTTCGGACCAACCTATTATAACCTCTTTGTACGAGAAAAAAACATTCTTTGATCGTTATTGTCAAGGTATCTCATAATTTTTTACATTTTTACCCTAAACATCAGCACTCGAGAACTGTGGCACCTACAAAAGGTACAAATACATGATCGTACTTCTGTATGTGTAAGCTAGATCATGTGTGTGGGAGGAACTCAGGACATCTGGGGCGAAGTTTGCCATTCAACCTCAATCATTTTTTCCTTTATTTCCAGCAATGGAAAAAATTTGGAAGGTGTACATTTGAAGAACGATGTCTTAAGCATATGCTAAAATAAATGCGGAATTTTTTTTTAGGTTTTTTGAAACCGAGATACGATTTTTGACGGTAAAGTTGTTTTTAACCTATCAGATCTCAGCGTCAAACTTCATCTGGAATACGAATTGGACAGATTCTTGATACTAATCTTGTAGTTTGCTTCGGTCCGTCAAATAATCACAAGCCTCATCAAATGAAGGAGAGACAAAAAGACGATGATTGTAGTGAAAACGGTAAGAAATATGAGACAACCTAATGCTTCGCTTGCATGATACAGAACAGATTGACATTGTCATAAATAACTATGTTGTTTGAAATTGGGAGCACTTAAACAGTAAGTTTGTTGAGATGGAACACAAAAGAACACAAAAATTGAGGCATTAAACAATTATATAAGCAAAAATGATTTTGAAAATGTGGTTCAAACTACGTTTAAAACGATTTTGAAACGCAAGTCGAAAAAGAGCAAGAAGCAGGCAGTACTTTGATTGTTTCATGGGCTAGTGCAACGCTATGTTAGGGACTTATTGTTAGTTGAACGTTTCATGACCAATTTCAGTAATTGGATTTGAAGGATCCAACACGTACATGAAAGCTGAAAATCTTGTTCAATATGACCCTTCATGATTCTCACATTCATAATTAGACAATACCACAAGAACGAATGATCACACATGATTTGGCAAAGATACTGCAGAAAGTCTAAAATTGATCGTATATTCAAGTTATCCGGACCTATTTTTAAACAAGGGATATTGCTTTTTTCATTGTAGCAAATGTAGTCAAATTACCCAGAAAAGAGTGTCAATCTTCTGCTACGTGTCAAAAGACTGACATATTATCTGCACATAAAAAGTTTTACCAAGAGTCTGTTTGGGCTACCTGAAAATCTAAGCAGGGAATGGTCAGAACTTAACCCAGCCATAGCAAACAAGCTATAGATCATCGGACTCGTCTTAAAACGCTGATCACATATATATTAGGTTGTTGCATAAGTTCTGTCCGATTTTTTTGCCTTATGTTTGAGGCAGCTGTTCTAAGAGAATTTCATGTCTAATGCGGTACTGTTAGTATCATTAGAAAATGCTATTCTTGCGCTTTCTAAGACATATCAAATTTCAATATTTCAGGCCTAAAATCTCCAAGTGGTGGAGGTACGTTCTCACCCCAGAAATATGTTCTTGCGAGGAAATCTCCACAATGCGCCCTTCAGGTCAAATTTTCAAATTGGTAGCGGAATAAGGGTGTAATAGGCTAGCATACGCATAACTTCAGTTTCATGAAGAAAACGTCTTGCTAGTAAAATTTATTGTCAGACATTAATCTTCTGTATAGATGTTTTACAAGCTATAACTTTCTGTGAATAGAAGTAATCGACAACTTCAAAGTTGTAGGCGCTAGCGTAAAGCAAGGGCTAGTAGATACCATCCACCAATTTTTTTTCGGCACTCACGGCAACTGTAAAATTTTCGTAATTTGTAAATAGGCATTCACACATGCGCTGAAGCGAGGTCAAAAAGTGGCCACTTTTTTGTTCGGTCAAAAAACCTCTCGGCAACGCAGACCCTATGGGCTCTTTTATGGTGCAAAATAATCTACGAAAAATTCTCTATTTATCCGTCGTTAGACAAGATGCCTATCAATTCTTATAAGACAGCACTGCCATGTCAAATAAGAAAGGTTTGAAGAAAAACGCTGTAAAGTTTTTGAGTTCTT